ACAAACAAACACAGACACAAACACAGACAGACAGACACAAACACAGACAGACAGTCAGACAGACAGATAGACACAAACACAGACATACACAAACACAGACAGACAGACAGACAGACAGACAGACAGACACACACAAACACAGACAGACAAAAACACAGACAGACAGACACAAACAAACACAGACACAAACACAGACAGACAGACACAAACACAGACAGACAGTCAGACAGACAGATAGACACAAACACAGACATACACAAACACAGACAGACAGACAGACAGACAGACAGACAGACAGACACACACAAACACAGACAGACAAAAACACAGACGGACAGACAGACACAAACAAACACAGACAGACACAAACAGAAACACAGACAGACAGACAGTCAGACAGACACAAACACAGACAGACAAAAACACAGACAGATAGACAGACACAAACAAACACAGACAAAAACACAGACAGACAGACACAAACAAACACAGACATACACAAACACAGACAGACAGAAAGACAGACACAAACACAGACAGACAGACAGACAGACAGACAGACAGACATACACAACCACAGACAGACAGACACAAACACAAACAGACAGAAAGACAGTCAGACAGACACAAACACAGACAGACAAAAACACAGACAGACAGACACAAACAAACACAGACACAAACACAGACAGACACAAGCACAAACACAAACACAAACACAGACAGACACAAGCACAGACACAAACACAAACACAGACATACACAAACGCAGACATACACATACACAAACACAGACAGACAGACAGACAGACTCATACCAGGTTGATTGCAATAGTTTTTTCCCAGTGCTTTTCATTGATGATCCCTGCATTGTTGCACAAAATGTCTATGCGGCCAAATGTTTTAACAATTTTTTCCAAAACTCCTGTAAGGGAAAACATGAAAGCATTCAGAGCATATCCACACTCTCTTTTACTGCTCTTATAAAGTGACTTGAGTAATAGCAGCATTGTGACACTGTAATCCATATCAGTCCGAGCCTCATGTAATCATTCCCAGACAATAAAACATCTCTCAAATCTTGAAAAACCTTTAAAATCTTCCTCTGATGTGACGTCGGCCAAATAAAATTCAGTCCTGTCACGTCCATACTCCTGATCAAGTGTGCTCTTCAGTTCATCTCCCAGCGATTTATTCACATCGATTAAAGCCACCTGTAATCAAATGAATCTGTGTGAGCTATTACAGTACAGGACTCTGACATTTAGAAGCAAGTGCCTTCTGTGTCCCTGATACATTTTAATTTCATATTTTTTCTTAATAAGGATGCTTTTAGGCTGTATTATA